CGTTGGTTAGTGATTTGGCCTGTTTCGCACTCCTCTCATTCTATCTTTTATTGCAATCCTAAGTAGTTCTGTTCTTTTACTTGGCAGGTAGTAATTGGACATGCAACACTTCCATTATCCACCCATGCACAGTATGCAACTGCCTTTGTGTTTGTCTTCTTTTGTTTTGTTTCTTTCTTTGATGATTTATTAACTTACATTATTTGTTCTGCTACTGGAGTGATCGGTATGGTAGTTCATGGTATTGGAAATAAACAGGGGGCAGAAATATAATCACCTATTCGATATTCTTGTGGTTTGTTAAGTTAATGTTATAATTTCAATTGTCAGGTTACTTTCCTGGTTTATGTTGTGGGTACTTGGATGATATCAATGTGAGTTTTCATTCACCTTACAGTGAAATGCTACCTAGTTTATTCGGATAAGTTTGACAAAATCTTATTAAAAACAACAGAGGTGGTATTTAACATCAAGAACTGTCATTACCTAAGCTTAGCGTATGAAGTTATTGAATCATAAAAATCATAAATGATTGTTTATAGTTTATACCTCAAGAAATTTAATATTTTGGTACAAGTCACACTTGAGTAGGGTATAGAGAAGGGTTGAATTGGGAACAATTTTATTTATCCTTTAGCCTTTTTTTCTAAAGCAGTTGCAATTAAGATTTGGTAATGAGACTAATAATTATCTGTGCCAGATAATGGCTTTGGCTTTTATTCCCCATCCCCTAAAATTTAATAAAATAAAAATAAAATACCAGCAGCTTTTTGTCATAAAGAAACTGGGAAACCAGATATTATAGCATTTTTCTAGTCTTTATTAGGTCCTAGCCTTCTTTGATGCCAACTAAATGCCATAACAGTATATTTTCTAGTAATTTAGACATGACTTTTTCTCATGCTTTTGTTATCTGCATCATTTCATTTTTTTCCTCGTTACATCATTCAATGATTTCACCCTGTTGAACTACGTTCTGTACTGAGGTTGTAATCAGAAATTTCTCTACTGATTATGAAAGAACTGGTTCCACATATCTTCAAGAAAATGGAAAGGTATTTTTATTTTGACATGTGTTAACCTCTGGTCACAAGAAAAAATTAATTTGTTTGAACCTTTCTACGTTGTAAATTATAAAATGATATTCACACCCTATTATGTTACTAATTCTTTTTCGTTGTGTTTAAGATTCCAATTTTTCAATGGATTGTTATAAATAAAACTAGCCTAGCTTCATTATCACATAGATGGTTACATTTTACTGTGTTAGATGATTATTTATTAATCCATAT